CCCCCCGGGGTGCTGGGGACACAGCGGGGCCCCCCGGGGGGGCTGCGGGAGGAGCCCCCGTGGGTTCAGCTCGGGAACGTTTTCCCTCTCTGCAGGGTAAAGATGTTGTTGCTAGGAGGGAAAAGCAGCTCCAGGAAGGCAGGGCGGTCCTGCCGGAGCTGTAGGAAAAGCAGGGAAGAGGTGTTTTGTATTTTTTTCTCCCCAAAAGCAGCTATAACATCACCTGTGTCTATAAAAATCCCGCACACCCAGTTTTCCTGCTGCAGCATCGTGGCAATTCATGGAAATGCCTCATATTGAGAAGTTTCTCCCCCCACCCCTCCACTGCTTTCTTTTTATTCTCCATTTTCGTTTCCCCAGGGAGAAGATAATTTCACTTACTGTCCAGCAACAGGCCTAGCTAAAGGAAACGAGGACTCTGAATTTGCTGGCTGGGCATTTCCATTTCCAGGGGTGTTTCTGGTGGAGGAGTTCATCAGCCAAGATGAAGAGTCTGAGATAGTTGAACTGATGGATCGAGATGACTGGAAACCATCCCAGTCTGGCCGAAAGAAGCAGGTTTGGCACACAGGTGTTCTTAGATCCCTCTGGAAAGCTGTTTTCAGTTAGAACCCAAAAGCACTTGGATGTTTCATGAGATGTTTTCCTTTGAAAGCTCTTCCTAAAACCAATTGCAAGAGTGACTTGTACTTAAAAGTCAGCTTCTTGCAAAAATAGGTGGGAGTGGTGACGTGACACACCTGGTGGTGCACGTCCAGGAGTAAGAGTTCACACCATCCCCAAGTGAAAGGAGTGGGTTACTTGGTTTGTTTCCTACTTGACAGGTGAGAAAGCTAATTCCAGGGAGATGAATGTAGCTTCACTGAGCCCTGTTGCAACCTGGTGACCAGGTCACTTGGAGAGATGTGAACTCAAAAAGCCTTGACCACGTGCCCTGCAGGGATCACAGCCTCTCCCAAAGGACCCATCCTGGCTTTCCCCCCAACACTAGCCCTTTTCCCCCCCCTCTTCTTTTCCAACAGGACTATGGACCCAAAGTGAACTTCAAGAAGCAAAGGCTGAGAGCTGGCAGCTTTACTGGTTTGCCAAGTTTCAGCAAAAAGCTTGTGGCACAGATGAAGGGCTGCCCTGTGCTGGGAGGTTTCTTCCCCGTGGAACAGTGCAACCTGGACTACGTGCCAGAGAGAGGGTCTGCTATTGACCCCCATTTTGATGACTGGTGGCTCTGGGGAGAACGTCTGGTCAGCTTAAACTTGCTCTCCAGCACCGTGCTGTCCATGTCTTGCGATTCAGAAGCCAACATCCAATTATTCCCCATCCCCAGCACGGAGAGCAGGGAATTAAATCCCCCTGGATCTTCAGCCCAGACGCCCGCGAGCAGAAATCCGGGCGAAGAGGGAACCGGCTGCGGTTTATCCCCAAGGCTTGTGCCGAGGAAAGAGGTGACTGTTGCCATTCCCTTGCCTCCCAGGGCTCTGGTGGTGCTGCAGGGGGAAGCCCGGTACCGGTGGAAACACGGCATCCAGCGCCGGCACATCCAGCAGCGCCGCGTCTGTGTCACCTTCAGGGAACTGTCCGCCGAGTTCAGCGCTGGGGGGGAACGCGAGGAGCTGGGCAAAGAACTGCTGGAAATAGCCCTGTCGTTTCAAGGCAGGCCAGTGTGAGAGGCTGGTGGAAGCTGGAATCGTGTTTTGTTAGGAGGGTTGAAAAATAAAAGCGTGGGATTGGTACAATTCGGGTTGTTTTGGGGCTGGGGGAGGGGTCTGGAGAACAAGAGGAGGGTCTGGAGAATTTAGGAGGAGGCTGAGGGTGTTGAGCCTGGAGGAAAGGAGGTTGAGGGGAGACCTTCTGGCTCTGCAGCTGCCTGACAGGAGGCTGGAGACAGGGGGGTTGGTCTCTTCTCCTGAGGAACAAGAGGAAATGGGCTCAAGTTGTGCCATGGGAGGTTTAGATTGGATATTAGGAACAATTTCTTCCCCAGAAGGGTCATCAGGCCCTGGCACAGGTTGCCCAGGGCAGTGGTGGAGTCACCATCCCTGGAAGTGTTGAAAAGCCATGTAGACTTGGTGCTGAGGGACATGGGTTAGCACCAGGCCTGGTAGAATTGGGTTAATGGTTGGACTCTATGACCATAAAGGTCTTTTCCAACCAGAACAATTCTGTGATTCCTGAAGTGCAGGTAAGGAGCCAGGTGTGTGCAGAGATAAGCTCCATCCAATGGACATTCAGCCAACAAATCAGAGTGTGCAAGGCAGGGGTGGGCTGTGTTTGGAGGCTCTGCTGGGCAGTGGGAGCTTTTGCTTTGAGGCCAAAGTCAGCAGTGAGCTGCTGTGTTGTTGGCTGCATTGTAGCAAGATGCAAATAGCAGGTTCTGAAATTACACCAAGAAAGAAACTTAGAACCATTCAACTGAGCTGAGTATCCATCAGCCCTTGGCACAGGTTCAGCCCAAGCCCTGCAGCAGGTTTTACCCTTCCCTTGGAACTGCTGAGCCATGGGAACACAACCATCCTCTTCCCCACCTCAGATGGGCTCCCCAGAGATCAGCTCTCTGGGGGAGGGGGGTAAGCAAGCATCTCTCCACAGATCAGCACAACACACCCAGAACTAATTAAAGTAATTATCTTTTGCTGCAGATTCATGCTCTAACAATGAGGATTGCTCCCTGTGTGTGACCTGTACCTTCTGGGACCAAAGCACAGGGTTTGCAGAGGGGCTGGTGGCAGCTCTTCTGCAGACACTGCTTGGACAGAGCTCAAACCAAAGGCTTGCACAGACTGTGTGATTTCCTGATCATTTCTCATCTCTGAACCCTGCTGTCAGCTCTCAGCAGCAAGAGGCTGATTTTGGGGAATAAGCTGGGCAACAGACTGCAACCCTGGTGGCTGCAATGTTTTTTCCTTGGCAGCCAGGTCTGAATCATGCCTTGTACCTCAGCTTCAAGTCATCATTTGGAAGCAGGGAGGCCATCTGCCTGCCCTGAGCAAACTTCTGTGCTCTTGAAAAATGAAGTTGTGCCTTGGAAGAAGTGTGATACTTGAATGAACAACAGTGGCACCCAAACCACTCAGCACAGTCACACCTACAGCAGGAAAGCAACATGGTGTTGCCTGGTTTTAGTTGGTAAGGAAAGGGGACAGGTTTATACACGGGATCTCAGTGTCCCTGTGCAGTCCTGCCCTAGGAAGACTTCCCTGGCACAGGGCACAGGTTTTACTCTATAATAATGTACTCATGCTGTAGCCACTGCCCTCTGCTCCAGGCATTGTGGGGCAGGGAGCTGTACACCCCACAAAACAGTTACCAGAAATCAGTTGGGTGCAATGGGGTGGGTTTTACCAGTGTAAGTGAACAGATACAATCACACTCCTGCACAGCTGCCATGAACCAGTTCCAGTTTAGCCCAGGCTTTCAACAGTTGTGGACATCTGGTTGATGATTCCAACAGGGACCCACAAGCAAAGCTCCACCAGGAAGTCCTAAACCCCAGACCTCCACCCAGACCAACTGGTGAGTGTCACCTACACGGTCCAGCAACAGTCACAACGTGGTAGAAACCCAGCCAGCCAAGATGCCACCTGTACTTACAGTGAGCTTTATCTCAGGAAATTCCTCATAGGCTTCAACTTCTCCAGCTGACTCTCCAAAGCAGGACCTTGTGCTCTCCCAGGAGTGGTTCCTAACCTTTTCCCAGCAGACTGGTGTGACCAGCACCGTGCTGCTGGCATCCCTGGGGCTCAGCAGCCACAGAGAGCGTGATGACCCCAGGACAGCACCTGGAGCTGCCAGCAGAGCAGAGGACCTTTGGCCAAGCAGGAGGACACAGCTGACAGGCTGCAGGAGCTTAGCACAAAGCCACAGTTTGGGAAGAAACCCAGGGCAGGCTTTCCTAGAAAAAGCACTGAGCCCACCTCCCCATTGCCCCCTCAGGGCCTCTCCAGCAACCTGCTCATTGCTCCAACTGCAGAAACCAAGCATTTCCATTAATATTGTTCCCAACACTCCCTTTAGATCCATATTTTACTCTCAGCCTGTTAAAATACCTTCTGTGCACATATCTGCTGGTTGCTTCTCTCTGCAGTGACAGCAGATGATGAGTCAGGGTGCCACAGGAACAAGATACACAATCTTAGTTCATTTTGTGCCTGGATTTGTTAGCTGAATTTTTCTGCCTCGACCAAACTGTACAGGGAGCTGCTGTTCTTGCCAGGAAATTCCAGCTCTTCCTAGTTGGTATCTCACATTTGAAAAAATAAATGCAAATAATTAAATATGAAGCCCAAGCCTGAGGGTTTTGCCTGGATGTTTTTGGAGCCCCAAACTCACTAGACAGTCATTGTTGTGTCTGCATTCTGACACGTTTCACCTCTTCATCAGCCTTCTGGGGATCATTTGAGATCAAAATCCAATTACACCCCCCCTTGGTTCTGTACTTTCTAAAACTTTAGGCACATTTTTCTCCTCAAAAGCCAAATTGCAGCACTGCAGAACATGAACAATTGGTTGGTACTGGCAAGTACCACAGGCATCTGAAAAAAAAGTATAAAGAAGTTTTCATCTTGATTAATTAGTTTTTTTTAAGTAATTTTGGCCACTATACTAGTAGTAGTAACATAAGACAAACTGTGATGGTCTTCATGTCACAGGAATTCCTATCACAGCTGTTTATCTCCTTGACAAAGATTAGCACTTGTAAAACACATGCTGAGAGCCAGGCCCTCATTAAAAGGAAGTGCATCTAATTGTTATCTACTTGTATATTTTAGAAAAAGGATAATAACTGACCAAGCCCTTCTCAAAAAAGCAAACCCCAAGTTCACCCACAGAGGAAGCTGGAAGACTTGAGCTGCCTTTCAAAAAATCAGTCTGAAATCAGCAAGAAGCATAAAACTTAGCAAGTTTATCCAGTTTCTCTCACACAGCTGAACAAGAACTGAGATACATACATTGTTCTACATTCAATATTGTTCATGCAGAGATCAAACAAGAATAGGCAAAGCTAAAATACAGGTTTTTCTCTTCTCCTAGTACTTAGCACTCGTGGCTGTTACAACCCTGGGCAGAAGGCAAGTTCTCAGTTGTGCACACAGGTATTGACAGGAATCCTCTCCAAATTCAGGCAGTTGGTCATTACTGATGCTTTGTTTGAAATGGGTACAGAGGAGACAGCCTGTGACAAGACCAGCAGAAAATAACCATGCTGGCCCAGTGGTGCTGGGCTCTGACACTGAAGCTGCAGCTTGAGGAAGCTGACTTAAAAGCAGGTGCAACAAGATGGAGAAGCTCACAAAGCTACAGCAGCAGGGTAACTCCAAGGCCTTTTGTTTGCTTGTTTGAAGGCAGGGAAGGTGAGAAAGGACATTCTAAAAATTACACAGAAGAGGAGAACGTGAAGTCTGAGCAACCAGTCCTGCATCTGGCTGGGCACCTTGCACACCCCTCCCTGAGCCTGGTGCAGCTGTCGAGCTGGGATTGTCCATCCCTGAGTCCTGGTGTCTGGGCTCCAAAGGATGTTGGTTCCCAGCCCTCCATCTCCCTACAGACACCTCCCAGATCCCAGTGCTTCCCACAGCACATGCTCTGCCTGAGGCTCTTGCAGAGTATCGCTTTCACCCCTCACCTGGGTCAGGCCCCAATGCCCAAGTCCAACATTTCCTCCATCTCCCCAGCATGTGAAGCCCCCCCAGGAGTCAAGGAGCCACCACAGCCACAGGGCTGCAGCTGCCAGAGCCAGGGGAGGACCTTAAAACCAGGCAGCTCCAGGAGGAAGAGCTGCCACTCAGCACAGCAAAGGGAGAACCTGATACTGCTCCCTCGGCTCAGTCATGTCTGGTCTTGGCTCCTGCTAAAGAAGGAAGGAGAGAGAGGAGTCACCTCCTAACCAAGGCAGGTAGCCAGGAATGATAGAAAATGGGGCCCTACTCCTGTCCTTGACAGCTCCTGCCCTTCTGGAAGGGACTCTCCAGTGCTGGAGCCTGCAGAGTCATTTTTCTGCCTGGCAAAAACTGTCCCAAAAAATCTGGAGGGGGACTCAGGACTTTGCAGTGAGCTTGTGGCTGTTCCCTGGAGCAAACCAGGGTGAGACCCACTGCAGAAACTGAAGCAATGGCCCAAACGAGGCAGTAACTGGTCCAGAGTCACAGCCCAAGGGAGGTGAGGATTAGGGCAACAGCCACCCCAAACTACAGCCCCCCAGGGCTACAGAGCTGGTACACAACAGTGACACGTGTCAGGGAGATCCTCAATGCACATCCCAGCCTGAGGGTAGGGCCCCTGGGTGAAGCATCCCTGTGCAGGCACCACAGGAACAGAGCCACACAAAACCCAGGAATGAGAGACACCCCAGGAATGAGAGACACCCCAGGAATGAGAGAGAGGTGACAGCACAGGACAGACATGGCCAGCACTGGCAGGCAGGCACAGATGTGACACAGCACACACTGCCAGACCTGCTGGGACATCAGCAATGATGAGGAAAGGCAGGCATCTCTGTGCTGGGGTGATGGGGATCCTGCTAACCAGCCACACGAGGAGCAGCAGAAACAAGGAGGATTTTCTGGTGCTGTAGCACAGGAACAACCACCTGGACCCGGGTCCTTCCTCCTCTAGGTATGAACTGTCTGGCTGATACCACAGGCCACCCTCACCACAAGTCAGTGACCATGTGAACATGCTGGAGGACAAGAGGCAGGAGCAAGAAAAGCAAATGCTGTTCTTGGGAAAGAAGGAGGGAAGTTACAGTGCAAAGGTGATGGGTAACCTAGAGAGATCCCAGATGCCTCAACAAAAATACTCCCATGGGCTTCTCATGGAAGGCAGAACTCAGTGCCTAGAGAGACAGAAGAACAAAGCTGCAGGCATAGATGGGAAAGCACATTATTATTCTGCTGTCAGTGCATTCACCTGTGGGACACCATCTCAAAGCACACCTGGGACTCCCTGCTGGAGTAAGGCAATCCCACTCCAGTCCCAGATGTGCTGCTTTGAATCCAGTCCCACCAAAAACTCACCCAGTTATTCTACAAAATCAAAGCAAGGTTTCTCCATTTGCTGAAGTTTATTGTATTTGCAAAGAATGAAACGAACCATTTGGCTGTTCCCAAAGGAGCTGCATTGCTTTCACAGCACTGCATGCACACTATCAAACTTCTTCTTTGAAATGTTTTTCAAATTGCAAAAAAAGTGCTCAGTCCTTTCCTCAACAACCTCCTGAGCTCCACAGCACAGAGTCCTGTTATTACTGGTGATCCAGGAGAGTGCAAAGTACAGCTGAGAGATTCATCCTGGTCTGGCTCTGGCCTCACAATAGAAATGTTGGTTGGCAGAAGAGCCTAAGTCTGTAATACTTGGCAGAAAACTCAATCCTGTTTTTGGTCATACAAACCTTTACATTTTATTATGGTAAAAAAAAAAGAAGGGAGAGAGGGCAGATTCCTGGGGGGACCATATAGATATCACAACCACCCACTTCCTGGAGGACACTCCTTATTTTTTGCATAGGTGCATCAGGACAGACTAGTCATTTAGCACACAAAGAATATTTTCTTTGCTGCACACCAGCCCATATGGGACATGCCAACTGCAGCAAGACCAACAGATGAAAGCCACAGACACAGTGCTAAGCAACTTGTTCTGCAACGTTCAACCTTGCCTGGAAACAGGAGATCTGAGAGTTGGGTTCCTAGGGCCTAAGCCAGAGAGGAATATAGGGATGGTCTCACCCTGCTGCACTGGGATTGGTGTGTGCCCTCCATTCTGGGAAGCTGACATGTAATACGCTGCTGTTAGATAGCTCAGATCCCAGGGGAATAAGGGAACTGGGGTTAAATAGAACATTACAAACATCCTTAATGATTCCAGAAACCTGTAAGGCCTGGGAGACTCTGCAACTGAAATGTTTGAGTGCAGAGCAGGAAATCAGCAAAGGATCAGGGCCAAGAAAATGTACTTATGCTTCTTTCAGCCCCAGGTGGCAGAAAGCCTCACTTTCCCTTAAAAGAGCTGATGATCACAAACCACTCTTTTCCCCTCCACAAAGCTACCATAAATATAAAATCATTTTTTTACAGAAGTTTTCACCTAAAAGGATGCTATAGAACTCACAAGCTTCCCTCACCATGCGAGACAAACGTGCAAGTGTCATTTTCTCTGCTGCTGCTGAAAAAAAAGAGAGCCAGCTCAGATGAAACATGATAGCCCTGTAATGGCACACAGCCCTCCTGGCTCCAGCTCCCCCAGGCTCCAGGTTCCACCAGAGGAGCTGCCTGTTTTGGTGGAGGGAGGAGGAAGCATTCATTTTTGACAGAAAAATGCTGCAGCTGGCAAAAAAACCCAAACACCCCAACAAACAATGATGAAACACACAGGACTGGGGCTTGTTCTCACCTGCAAAGCAGGCAAAAGACTTTGCAACAATAGATATATGAAGATGACTTTGCAACAATAGATAAATGAAGATGACCTAGTGAGAGATTGATAGAAAAAATGCTAAATGCTGTCACTCCTTACTTCCTTGAAACTTGCTTTTCTAGTCCTTCAAAGTTTTGTCTCAGTAAATTCCCTGTCACTGTTCTGTTTTAAGAATGTCCTTGTTCAAACTAAAACACCTTTCAGCTTTCCCTGGGCACTCTTGTCTCTTATTGGGAAAAAACCCCACATGATCTTGGTATTCATTCAATCTGAAGTGACAGATGCTGCTGAAAAAAATATGATAGAACTTCCCAGCTTCCTCCAATTTGAAATTTTACCTCCCCAGCTGTAAAAATAAAGCAAGCAATAGCAAGAAAAGAATATATAAGCTAAAGGTTGATTTTTTTTTTCTGGTGATGTATTTATGGAACACTTGCTTTGGAAGAAAGGTGATCAACACTCACAGTTTCTGTTGGGCTTTCTTGGATGTCCTCAAGTCAGCTGCAGGTACTTTCATTAACCAGCTCAGCTCTAGAACCAGCTGCTGCTGCACTGACCAGCCAGGGAATTCTGACACCTAAGACAGGTCCTACACACACACACACACACACACACACACTGGTGTTTTTTGACAGCAGATGCAGTTTTACTTTTGGCAACAGAATATTGTTGGTAAAAAAAAGAAATAAAAATCCAGATTTTTGGCTACCCAAACCAACGTTAAGGTAGATGAAGTTTTGAGACCTTGAACTCCATGGCAGTGTTGACTTAAGCAGGCAAGTGTGTAGGACCAGAAACAGGTCAGAGCTTCCAGCACCTGTGACAGCACTAGCACCCACAGCTACACATGGCAGGCAATTAGCGTTTACACATGGAAGCCTCAAGACAACCCATGAGTGGTGTGTCTCACCAAAACAGGTAACGTTCCTCTTAGCCCCAGCTGAGCAGCTCTGCTGGCAGCAGCCTCTGCCTCCCTGTCACACCACCTGCATGCCTCTGTCGTGCCCATCCAGCTGCACTTTCAGTTTGTGGAGCTCCTCGATCTCCCGGTTGTGCCGCTCCGTTTTGTGCCGCACCAAGGAGCGGTAGAAGTGGATGGTGAAGACGACAAAAATCAGCCCCACTGGGACCATGATGATGGTGGAGACCAGTGCTGACTGCCAGCCCGCGTGGCCACTGGGCTTCTCCACATTGGTGGTCTCGTTTTTCAGGATGGAGCCCACAGGGAGGAATTTTATCCAGCAGAGGAGCACGACTTCCGCAAGGAAAAGGAGGATCCCCAGGACGGTGGAGAAGCCCCAGGCCAGCTCGATGTAGGGGTGCATGCGCTCGTGGGGGGACTCACTGATGGAGTTCAGGTTGTGGATGTTGCTCACTGCTTCCACGTTGGGCAGGATGCAGGTGCTGATGAGGAGGGCAAAGAGATGAACTGCCACCAGCACCGTCGTGCAGGCGCTGAACGCGATCAGCAGCATCTGGGGGTACTTGTACTGCACCTCCAGCTGCACCTCCACCATGGCAACCTGGGGAAAGGCACAGAAAGCTTGTCAACAGCTGCTAGTTTGCCTCTTTTCCAGGCTTTCATCCAGGAAAGCATCTTTATTCAGGAAGAGCACCTAAGGTCAAGTACACACTCAAGTGCTTCTTGGAATAGCAGCCTAGATGGATCGGTCCTGCTTCCCATGAAGTACCTGCAGGCTCCAGCCTGGCTTTCCAAAGGCTCACACAGGTTTCTGCAAGAACACATCTCTCCTTGCAACCACGAGCCATCTGAACTGCATCAAACCCAACAGGCAACAGGAGGAAACCATGAGACAGCAAGAGGGGCTGGGAGGCAGGTGACAGCCTGGCAGCCCCACTGCCCATCTCACCTTCTCCTGCTGCTCCCCACTCGTGGCTGCAGGGCAGGAAGTTTCCACTTCAGGCAAGTAAAGCAAAGCAAAAGCAACCAGCCCTCCTGGCTAGTGGCCAGCTGGGTTTCACTAGCCCTCACAGGAAGCACACAAGCTACTTTACAGTGTTCTATTCTCAGAACATTGTACATTTGTTTTTATTACAAAAATGCCTCGACACAAGTTATTTATATCCTCAAATTTCTCCCTCGAGAGCTAATAACTTACTGATAGACTCAGCAGAAGCAGAGCTACTGGCTATGGGTGTGTTCAACAACTCAGATCAGTCTGGGTACTCAAAAGAAAAGCTATCACATAGAAAGTCTTTAGCTTTTTTTTTTTTTTTTTTAATAAAATCAAGCTGAACTAGCAGAATAAGGGCAAGAGAGCAAAAGACTCTTCTGAGATCAGAGCTGGACTCCTACTGCAGGTCTGCTAACTGGTTTAGCATAAGAATTTGTAAAATTACTTAACCTCTCTGGGAAGTAAAATAGCACAAGTGCTCCCCTGAAAGGGATGCAGGAACCTTGTGCAAATAGAAGCCACAAAATCAGCAGATGAGACTATAAAACATTCCTCTCCAGCTTGGATCTGCAACTGCACTTCCTGATTTGCACAGATACTAACCTTTTTAAAACCCAAACCATTCTATGATGCTCTGATGAACCTGCCTGTCAGCAGGCAAAACTTCTGGTTATGCCAGGCAACCTGCTGCTCCAGCACAGAACAGCTTGTCGGGCGTTAGGGAAGGGGGATGTGGATGCAGGATCCTCAGGGCAGTGCCTGCCTCAGGGCAGTGCCTCTCAAAACCATCAAAAGATGGCAAAGCTGGAAAAAGCAGCTCAGTTCTGGGACACAGATGGATTTTGCAGAAGAGACACAGCATAACTTGATCCAGACTTCACCTTACACCACTGCTGAGCAGCCACTTCCAAGCTCTGTATCATAATCTGCACCATTTGCTCTGGCATTAGTTGATCATATTATTTAGGCACTGGGAGATGAGGGGTACACTCATGTTCTCCCTGTGGGTAACCCTTAAAAGGATGAAAGGGAAGGGAGGAAAGTGCCTCTGCTGCCTGGCCCACATTTACTTTGAAACCACCATTAGACTGAATGAGGGATCACAGCCAAGTCTGAACACGTTCAGCAGCAACCAAAACACAAGGTGGTTGTGGCAACAAATAGTCAATCTCTACCAGTCCAGATTTTACACCTACGTCAACTATTTAGGATAGTGGAGACACCAAAAAGATGGTGGCAGTCCTTGGACATTCCCAGCCTTTTGTTCTGTTTATGAACATGCAGGGTTTCTACATTTTATTATTTCAAGGTTCCTGTCTGGAATTTACAGTAGTTCTTGTTGTCCAGTAGAGAAAATAACAACACAGGATGGACTTTGCCATCTATTGCAAGGTCAATTTAATTAAAACACATGCCACATTGCCTGTTCTCTGCAAAGGGAACACAGATTGATTGGAGGAGATCAAACTTACTCTCTGCTGCACTGTCTGCACAATTAATTTGTACAGCACTGGGATTGTCAGTCACGCCCCATCAGCCAGGAAGAGCTGCAGGTGTAGTGTTCATTATTGGGTGCTGTAATACCCAGAGACATAGCATTCAGCAAGCTGAATAAGAATTGTAGCTACCTGTTCAATTTATAGCTTTATATTAAAGCTGAAAGCCTGGCCCATGTCAACATATCAATTTCTCCTTGTTATCCTCCGCATGAGCAGCACTTTTCAGCTAATTGGATGTTTCCTCCCAGACAAACCTATTCCCTAGGGCTACCTTCAGCTGTGCAATGTGATGAATTTTTAACACTGACTGATGGCTCAGTAAGAGGTATTTCAGGGAAAAACATCAACAATCCAAACAGGACAGCAAGGCAGAAAAACAGTTCATTTAACTCGAACAAGTCCTGGAAAGGTGAGCGAGCTCTTGCCACGTCACCCCATACAGACTGTTCTCTGACCTGGATAAGAGAAAGAGAACAAACTGACATAACCCATTTAAAAATCATTACATATGCTGCTTAGTGTGTAAAACTATTAATATGTCATATCTGATACTATTATGCTCTTCTGTCATAACAGCTCCCTTTATTGTAACCTCTTTCCTGAAGCCAAGGTATCAAGGGCTTGACTTTGCGAGGCACTGAGTGCTCAGCTGAGCCATGGGGTATCTCAGCACTTAATCTGGCTTAATTTTAAAGGTTGAATTTGAATTTTTAATTTTTTTACATTTCTCATTTAAAAAATGCAAAGGTTAATTGTTTTGAAATAATGAGAAAGAAATAATCTATAAATAAATAATTTGAAGCTGGAGATTCGCCCTGTTGAACCCCACTCTCATGGGTCTGCTAAAGGACTCAGAACATTTTAGAATTAGACTCCAATTAAACTACATGCAATTATGTTTGTTGTTTAGTTGTGGTTTGTTTTTTTTTATAGCCCAGACTGTCCACAACAAATATGTTAATCTTGATTAAGAAATTTAGACCAGGATAGATAGTATCAGGCAAAAGGATGACAAATGGCTTAACATAAACCCTGGTACACTCACACAGATGGTTTGGCAGCTGCAAAAAACAATCACTCCAATAGATCTACTGTAGTTGGCTGTTGTTTTTTTTAATCAGATACATATCCTGCAGCAATTAGACAAGTATCAAGAAGACTGTCTAGCAGTAATAGCTCTCTTTTCCATCAGGAAAATTATTAAGGAGGCTTTCTGAGCTCCCTCTGAACCTCCTTTGTTTGCAGTAGCATTAGAGCCCATCTCCAAACAGACCTGGCACTGGGAAGGACCCACAACCTCCTGACCTGCCCAGTTCTGCCAGAAATACCAGAGATAGCATCGAGTAACAAGGAAGGTTTGCATTATTCTGCAGCCATTTATTCTGTCCAGAAGGAGCTGGATCAAAGCCACCGCCTGTTGATTAAATATCCATCAGCTCATAATCATTTTCAGCCAATATGGAGCTGGCTTAAATCAAACATGCTGACAAGGAAGTAAATAAAGCAATAACCAAGCCCTTTATGACATGAGTTTACATAGCTAAATGCTCACAGAGCTTCAGGGAAACTATTTAACTCTAAATAACTTCTCTGCTTTCATCAATAGCCAAAGAAATGCTCCTATTAGAGACCAAACAGCAGTGTATCAGACACCTGCATGCCAAGGTAGCAGTGGAGAAATCATCCAGTAGGTAAGAGATACCTCAGCTTACACGAGAAGGTTTATTGTGATCAGCTGAGAAAAAGCTTGCTAATAAAGAGAATTCCTTATTGCAAAAAATTCTGACAATTATTTGATTTTGCTTACAAAGTGAAGCTGGTGATTATAATTAACGTTACTTATGTGTTCATTTGACTTGCATTTTAAACAGAAGTCAAATGGTATTTGACTTGCATTTTAAACAGAAGTCAAATGGTTAATTTGTTCGTGCTTGCCAAGGACTTTCAGCAAGTTTCTGTTGTGTGAGCTGAGAAGGAAGGCTTTGTGTTCAGAGGGGTGGTTCAGCCCCATGGGGTGGGTGGGATGCAGCTCCCCCCGAGCCCCAGCAACAGCACAACCCAGCACAGACACCTGGTTCTGCCTACAGAGATCAGGTCACAACACTAAAAACCATTAATTTAATAATCATGTCAAAGAGAAGACTCACAAATGACTAGTACAGGACTCAAGTAATCCAGAGGCACCAAGGATGAGCACATCAGCTGCTTTTTTTGAAGTAAGAAAGCTTCTGAGTGAAAAGAAATCTACAGAACACTCACCTTTCTCACAAGGAGGAGGCACCTTCTGCCATTCCAGCACATGAGATTGGTCACAAATGAACACAGTTTGAGTGAAAAGATTTCACAGGAATCATGTGCAGGCAGCCAGGGCAGAGAGAAGCCACAAAGCAGCCAACCACCTTGTGAGGGGGGAGTGCAGTGGGAACAGGCTGGAGGGCACATCTCCCCAGCTTCTCTTTGGGTGATCAACTCTGTCATCCCAAATGGCTGCTGTAATGTTACAGATGATTCATGTTCTGGGGGATTGGGGGGAGGAATAAAAAAAACCAGATGAAGCTAAAATAAAACAAGGAAAGCTATCTGGAAAATTCCTGAGATTGGTCCTCCCTGCTGCTCCTGATCTGCAGGATGCAACATTGTCACATCCCCCTCACCCAGGCACTGCCCTCTGCCTTCTGCTGACAGACCTCAGGAACAGCCAGACCCGTCTGTTTCCTGAGAAAACCTCCCCCAAACAGGTTTCAGTTCTCATTCCCAACATGGAAGAACTAGAGGGGAGATGAAGAGGCTTCCACCAACACAGCACAGCTCAGGCAGGTCTGAGCACTTGACCACTGTCTCACTCCTTGACATGGTTTTGACCTATGCAGAGGCCTTCCAGGTAACACCCATGTGCTGCACGGAGAAAAGCAAGGACCAGAGATCATTCCCAACAGCCAGCATTGACAAAAATATTCCAGGGTTGGCTCCCTTCAGGCTGGAGAGTCCTCTAACACCAGGTCTGAGGATACAGGGCCTCGTCTCACACCTCAGCACAAAACACCATCTGCCCCATCATCCCACGCAAACTGTGGCCTGACCTCCACCTTATTTTAGACACCATGACCTGCAAAAAACACATGTACAGAAATGAAGATAACATTGAGGACCACAGCGATGTGGGGGCCTGGAGGAGCTCCACAGGCCCAAGCGCAGCCCCAGGTGAAAGCAGCCAGAGATGGATGGCTAAGGAGAGCCCAGGCCTGGAGTCCTCAGGATCACACACACAGGAAAGTGATTTGTATTTCTGCAGGCCTGACTTGGGAGTGTGGGGGTTGCCTCACTTGTCAGCAGCAGCCAAGCAGAAGCCCCTCAGGCAGATGCCTCCTGCCTCTTCAGAAAACAACAGAGCATCCTGCTTCTTCCCAGGAGGAAAACCCTGCTTCATAATGATTTCAGACACCAAAAAACCTTCAGGAACCAGAAAGCACTGCTACAAAACACACATACCATGGCAAATCCAGAGAGCAGAGCAGAAGTCCTGCTGGAAGCTTTCAGTTTGGCTCGGCTCAGGTACAATTTCCTCCAGGACAGGGCCTGGACTGAGTGGTGGTTTGATGTGACCAGTTCCAGGTAGCTGCGCCGGACCCAGTCCCGGTAATCCATGCCTTTGGTGCCAGGTTCAGAGCAGCAAGCAGGAGTGGAAGGATCCACTGGAACGTTTAATTCAGAAGTCATGGTGAGAGAAATGCTGAGGGAACAAAAGAGTCACGTTTAAAAGGAGGCAGCAGGTAAGAGAAGGGTCGGGAAAATTGACATTTAAACAAAGTTGCCCGCAGGCAGTAGGAAAATGATGGATCAAATCCCATCATCCTTGCAAGGCATGGGACAGAGAAAAGACCTTCCATAACTGCTAAAAATGACCATGAGAACTAGGAAAGATTACACAAGTAAACCTGGGAACTACTCC